GACCCCCATGGGACACTCAGCCCAGCGCTACTGGGGTTAGTGGGGCTGGTGCCCCCCCACCGGACCGTGCTCTGCTTCCTGTGGTCTTTCGCACCGGGAAGCTGCCCGCACTGCTGCCCCACAGCCCCCTGCTCTGCCGGGGTCCATGAGCACCCCGCGTGTGACACCCGGACCCCACAGCCCTCACGCAAGGTGCCCGTGCCTCAGTTTCCCCACCCGTGCAATGGCTGGACGGGCGTGCTGGACACCCCCCTGCATCGCTCCCGGTGCCAACATGGGGACACCATCGCACCCACCACAACCCGGCTCAGCCTCATGTCCCCAAACCTGTACCAGCACCCCCGGCCATGGCAGCCCCAGGGGACAACGAGCAGCACAAGGAGGGGACAAGGAGGTGGGGGGAGACCTGGCAGCCCCCATCCCTCTGGATACTGGTGTTTTCCAGGCCCGGTGCCAGGATCTTTGCCGCCAAAGCCGCCCAACTCCCGCGCGGCACCACCTCGGCCAACGGCTCCTTTTATTTCCAGGCTCTTGCAACACACCTTCCGTGCAGCCCGCCTGGAAAGCTGCCGGGGCACCGGCTGATGGGTCATGGGGTGCAAAGCGCCCTGCCCCGCTCCCAGCCCTGGCAGCAGGCAGAGCAAGTCCATGCACCAGCCGTGCCTCAGTTTCCCCACGAGCAGCAGACAGCTCTGGTGATGCCAAGCAGACCCCGAGGGCTCACTCCCACCGAGCCCATCACCAGGGGCTCCGCAGCACAACGATCCCACCTGGGAACTGAGGAGGAGGCCAGGGCATGGCTGGGTTCAGTGGCTGGGTCTGCCGTGGGTCTGCAGGGGCTGCGGCACATCCCACCCCAGCGAGGGGGTGAAACTCCCTGCAGCATGAGCAGATCGGAGCATTTCACAGCCAAAACATGGCAAGAAAAGGGAACCAAAAGGTGGAGGAAACAGAAGCAAGCACAAACCCTTGAACATCACAGCCAGATGCTGGATCTGAGACTGACAAAGGGGCTTTGGCTGATTTCTGCTCCAGGGATGGTGGCCACAAGTGAGAGCCAGGCCCACCTCCAGTGCGTGATGTGGAACCATGGCAGGGGCTGGGGAAGGCTGGAAGCAGTAGGAGATGGAGAGGTGGACGGTGGGATGCTGCCCGTGTATCCCTGGCTGCCGGACACAAGGAATCAGGCTGCACTGGCTGCCCTGGTGCCAGTCCAAGGGGACTCCATGGGGACGATGCCCTGTCACAGGGCTCCTCCAGCCCAAGCTCTTCAGCTGCAGTGCCCGGCCGGGCCAGGGCACTGAAGACTTTAACTGATGGAGAGCCAAGCCCCGCCAGGCCTCTGCTGTTTTCTAATCCCAGTGGAATTAATGACCTTATCTTTGGCCAAAGCCATTTAGATTAAGTGGCTGGTGTGATGGGCTCGGCGGCTCCAGCTGCACAGATGGAAGAGCTGCGTTTGTCTGGGGATTAGCGAGGGCAGATGGAGGGAAGTGCCATTCCCCATCCCTAAAGCTCCCGGCACTGCCAGCAGCCTGAAACCAGAGACCACAACTTTCTCAGTGACTCCTGGCTGGGTCTGGAGAGTGACTTGATCAGAGGCCAGCACCTCTCAGAAAGCAAACTCACCTGCTTCTTGCTGCTGGCAGCATCAGGGCACGCGTCCACCTTCCATTTCCTGGACCAGCCACAGCATGAACAAGCAAGAATGAGAGAGCCTCGTCCTGCTGGGACACCCAAGAGCTGCTGCCCTCAGACCAGGCACTGCAGCGGTGGCCGGGAGCAGGGGAAGGCCTGGAACACCAGCACCTCTCAGAAAGCAAACTCACCTGCTTCTTGCTGCTGGCAGCATCAGGGCACGCGTCCACCTTCCATTTCCTGGACCAGCCACAGCATGAACAAGCAAGAATGAGAGAGCCTCGTCCTGCTGGGACACCCAAGAGCTGCTGCCCTCAGACCAGGCACTGCAGCGGTGGCCGGGAGCAGGGGAAGGCCTGGAACACCCTGTCCGTGCTGGCT